ATATAAGACCAATCAGTAGCTTTGATAGATAAATTAATAAGTAATAACTGTGATATTATCACTTATTCCCCATAGTTCAAATCGGTAGCATAAAACTTCATATAGTATGCAGAGATTCTCCATACCGCTGCTGCTTTTACAGTTAAAAATTAGATTTCACATGCTTCTGGGTAGCAGACAGTGCCACTTCACTGAAATGTACTATCGTTATGCTCATTATTTATTGTGGCAGTAATTATGCCAGCACTGCAGTTGTTATTTCTGGAATCATCCATGTGCTTTTCTTCCTTTCTGGAGAGGAATCATAGATGCCAAATAGAATACAGTGTGTTGCATAAGCATACAACTGGAGGCTGTGTTCTCAGTTCCCCATACCCTTTCTCTAGGTTAGATGGTTGACATTTGCTTGACATGCCCTTCTGCCTAGGTTTGCTTTGCATACTTCTACATGTTCTGTCATGCAGTTGTAAAAAATGAGCCAGTCATGAAAGAAGCATGGATAGTCACAAGCATTTTTGGCCAATGTAGATATTTTTCCTGGTTGATTTTAAAAGGATAGTTCCAAGGTTATATTTTGCATATAAATGTAACCACTTGAAGGGTTACATTGATATGGATTGGGCATAAAACTGTTTTTCCAGTAAGTTAATATTAAGAATGATTGAGCAAGATATCCTGATTGAAATTAAGTTTTATAACCTAGTTTGGCAAACTGCCATTATTATTGCATGTAAATAGACTTGTGTACTGGGGCACCAACCTCAACTTGCATCGTTTTCATTAGAAATAGTCATATATTTACTCTGTCTACTTTACTGATGTTCTATACTAAGAGAAATTACTTTCAGCATATATTAAAGCCATATATGCCCATTACACGTATATATATATATATATATATGCACATTACATACGTGTGTGTGTGTGTGTGTATTTATATATATTTGCCTATTACTATGTAACTGGTTTTTTAAGGCAAGGAGACGTCCTTGCTTTATTTAAGATTTTTCAACTTATGACATTTCAAAAGTTCCATGTTAATGAATTATTTATCCCCAGGTATCACGATTTATATTAACCTACTTCATTTGTTTCTAGATTATTCTAAAATCAAAGTCTAAATGTTTGATGTCTTAAGTTTCTAAAAACTATACATTGTTAATTAGTTAAATGTTTTATATGCATTTGTTTCACTTTTATTTTTAGAACTTAGATATTTCTATTAAAATAATTACATTAATTATTTAAAATACTTAAAAGTCATTTTATCACTATGTTTCTATATCTGTATTTGTAACACATAGTCATAAATGAGAAGCAATCAATTCCCAAAAAGCATATGGAAAATTGTTTTAAAATGTGTGTTTATGTTTCCTTAAAACTTGTTCTATTTATTTCCATTTTTAAAAGTGTTAGATATAGTAGTTCAGGGGCTTTCTCAAGAAACTCATGGTTCTTATTGTAAAACACAGTTGTGAAATATACTTCATAAAGAGTTAGTGGACAGAAGGAACTAGGCTAGAGAAAAAGTAAGAAAAGCATAGAGGCTAATGATTATTAGTATTATTACCGTGCTGTCTTACATATAATGACTGGCATAATCCTGACACCTTGTATGGTGATATCCTTAACATCCTTTAAAAGATGAAGAACCAAAGTCTTTCAACTAGGAGAAGCAGAGCCAGAATTCAGACCCACTAGTAGTGGCAGAAACAGAATTCAGAATTCAGAATCATGCCTAGGGCTTTCTTTATATCGCACTGCTCATCTGTCTTTTTTGTGAAAAAGTGATACTTTCCTCAAACTAGCAGAGAGAAACAGGATCCTAGTACCCTGAACCTCCAAAGAGAACTCATACAGAAGAGTAAGCAGAAAAAATGGAGGTGTTGAGGAAAAAACCATTGCATTCTAAAGAGCATCTGATAATACAGTTTTGCAGATGAACTTAGCACTCTGAAAGCAGAGGTTAGCCAATGGTAAGTTATAGCACTTAGGCTGTTCGACTCAACAATAATACTTTGACATTTTCGTTTTGAAGTTTTTTGCTGTCTAGTTTTTTGTTTTTCTTGAGACAGGGTCTTGCTCTGTCACCAAGGCTGGAGTGCAGTGGTGCAATCTCTCAGTTTACCACAACCTCCGCCTCCCAGGCTAAAATGATTCTCCAATCTCAGCCTCCTCAGTAGCTGGGACTATAGGTGTGCAGCACCACACCTGGCTAATTTTTGTATTTTTTGTAGAAATGGGGTCTCACTATGTTGCCCAGGCTGGTCTTGAACTCCTGAGCTCAAGCCGTCTGCCCACCCTCAGCCTCCCAAAGTGCTGGGATTACAGGTATGAGCCACTGCACCTAGCCTTCTGTCTAGTATTAAGCCATACAAGTAGAAGAGGAACAAGTTTATATATTAATATTAATACTCTAAGACTCTAGGACATAAACGAACAAAGAATATGAAGAGATGAATCTCAAAAGATCATATACCTTGAATAAGCAAACATTTGCAACATATTCAATCACTAATCTTTAAAAAATACATGGAGAGATTTCTGTTTTTTCAGTTGGCAGAACTATTTTAAAAACAATAGTTTGTATACCTTGCAGAGTATTGTACAGTTCAAACTATCATTAATTGGGTGTTTCAGGTGGAAATCAGTTTTAGAAGGCAATTTTATAAAGTATATTAACATGCATTAGGATTACATCATCATTGGACCCAAGAAGATCTCTACTGGAAACCTTTCCTGGGAAAATAAAACAGAGAAAAAACATTATTTATAACTGCTATATATGTGTTAGTCTTAGAATTACTTAGAATTGATGGAAATTGGAAACATTCTACATCTTTGACAATAGAGAACTGAAGTGTTGATAGCAGGTACAATAGTTATTTGGGGCAGTACATTACTTAGCTCTTAATAAGGGTGGGTTGATTGGTTGGTTGGCTGGACAGTTGGGAGCGATGGAGGCAGGCAGGCAACGGGATTGGCTTTCTGAAAAAAAGGATTTGCAAAGTCATTGAAAATTGTTATAATAACAGTAGCCAAATGGAAAATCATTAAAGTATTATAGTTTAATGTTAAGTGAAAAACAGGATGAAAACTGCTTGTATTCTGTGAGAACTGACTGTAACACTTAAATTCGGAGTAGCATATGAAAACCCTTACGCATGTGAAAAATTAATGGAAGGAAATAGAATACAGTTGTCCCTTGGTATTTGTGGTAGATTGGTTCCAGGACACCCTGCAGACTGTGGATACCAAGATCCAAAGATGTTCAAGTCTCATGTAAAATGGCATAATATTTGCATTTAACCTATGGATACCCTCTTATATACATTAAATCATCTCTAGATTACTTATAATATCTACTGCAATGCAAATGCTATGAAAATAGCTGTTATACTATATTGGCTTTTTATTAGTATCTTAAATAAGATTGTTGTACTCTTTGCGTGTGTGTGTGTGTGTGTGTGTGTGTGTGTGTGTGTGTTCTCAAATACATTCAATCTGTGATTGGTTGAATTCAAGCATACAAATCTGTGGATACCCAGAAAAGGCTGAGTGCATATGTGAATTTTCTTTATGATGTGGTACTTTTATATAATTATAAAAAGATACATAAACTATTAGATTTAGAAATATATTTTTTCAACTTGCTAATAACCCCCCCCTCCCCCCCCCCCCCCCGCCCCCAGCTTTATATATCTGCACTACTGTTTTATAAAGTTCTATGTTAAGCCTACCCACTGGGTCTCTATAATATTATGCTGCAGAGATACCCTCATTCACTTCTTGGGAGCTATTCTAAGTTTAGATTTAGGACATAACTGTATATCTTATACATCTATTTGTAAATTCCTTTTTCTAATTTGGCAACAGGTAAAGCTTGGTAATACCATTTTTTCCACTAAAATTACTCTGAAATGTGTTTGTAGTTTCAGAGAATAAATGATTGTGGGTAGAGTGTCAACATAGTACTCTTCTTCTGCATGAGAACTTGATCTTTGCTTAACCTTCTAGTTCTGTTCCCCTGAAGACCTGATTAAAAATTGGAATGTCAGCTATGTTACTAGGCAGTATTGTTTATAGTAAACATTATTCCAGATCTGGACAGGGAGAATTATTAATATATGATAGAAGGCATAACTGAGGTGGGGGAGGTTCTTGAGTTTAGTGACTCAAAATGGGCGTAGCCCTGTTGGGTATGATGTTTTGATGCCAGAGCATCTCCCATATCTGCCCCATACTGATCTCATCTCCTTATAACTGCTTGAGGGACTCAGCCCTGACACTGTCATCCTGGCAAACTATAGTTCGCTCCCTACATCCTTACTAGCAGACTGGTGCCAGTGAGGCCCTTTATGGGTCTGAATGTTAATCCTAAGAAGACTCTAAGGTGTTATTTATTACATTAGTGTAATTCTTCTAAATAGTTTTTATTTTTGAAGTGAGAAAGTAGTATATTAACTTTATAGTAGTTAATTCATTTAGTTTTTTTCAATACTTGAGAAGAACATTAGACTGTGAGTTAGAACATATGGCTGTTAGTCCAGTTTTTCAGTAATAGATTATATGACCTTTTGGGCAAGTCACTTAATCTCTTTGGAACTCAGTTTTCTTAAATGTTAGATAGGAACTTTGACTGATACCATTTCTGATGTTTCTTCCAAACCTCTAAATCTTACGGCTCTCTGATTCTCTTATTATCGTTAATTTTTAATCCTCTTTTATAGAAGCATTCCAGATTATTTTTAGCCTGGCAGGAGATCAGGTAGCTGAAAGCTTGTGATGCTACAGTGTATATTCTTCTACATTTAGGTTTTTAAAATTTTGGCACATTATAGCTGTGTAGTTCCAAAAGAAACATTTACTGCCTATGGGATAGAATGTAAATAATTTACACTAAAAATACTTGGGGAATTTGGGGAGGGGAAAAATCAATTAGAATGAAAGTTTGAAAAGTTTTTGATTCTTTAAAATTTTGTCTCAACTTTTGTTTATAGGTTGTGAACTGGCTTGAAGGACCTGGATCAGAACAACTAAGAGCGCAGTGGGGCATTGGAGACTCCATTAGGGCTTCCCAGGCCCTACAGCAGAAGCACGAAGAGATTGAGAGCCAGCACAGTGTGAGAGACTTTTTCCTCTGCAAGTTACAATGCTATTATGAACGTGGATAATTAGTAGCATATGTGGTACTGAGTGATAAGTTGCTACAAACTTTGATATAGGGCATGAAGTACAGTTAGTTAAATACCTAGAGGTCATAAAGTACATTGTGACTACTTAGTACATGTTAATTAGAAGGTTGTTTTTGGTTTTGTCTCTTAATGCAGTTTAATTATATTTTTATAGAAGCACAGTTTGCATGAAATTTTAAAAGCTACAGTGACAGACAAAAAGAGTGATAGTACAAAAATAGAGAGCTTTCATCTAGTCTGTGACAGAAATTTCTGTTTTCAGGTCCTCAAAGAGAGACCCCCCTCCCCCACTTTACTGGGAGTATACAGTACAATTAAATGCTCAGAGTGATAGCAGAATTGCTGTATTAAATACAGCTGATGGAGAGTAAGTGCAGAAGGGCAGAATATTTTTCCATTCTCTGAGCATTTTGAAAGGTATAAAATTTTGGGAAATAAATAGATTCTTAAGCAGATTATAGATAACAATTGTTTAAGAGAATTTAAAATTTAACAACTTGTTCTGTGAAAGAAGCTGATGTTTGTTAAGGTCCTGCTCTGTTACAGTTAATTCTTCATTCTGACAAAAAGATCATCCAGTTTGTGGACTGGGTAGCTCACTCCCTCTCCCCGAAGTCATATTACTTCTTATGGTAATTTAAAATAGATTAAATACAAAATTGGAAAGATTAAACTTGAATCCATTAGTTCCTTTCTCCTTACATTATTTGTCTTAAAAAAATTGGTCAAAATGTTAAACTCTGGACCCGAGTGAGCATTAAGCATTATCTGAACATTAATTTCTGCAGTGTTTCTTCTTTCCTCACCAACTCCCCTAGTTGAAATGGTAATTATAAGCTAGCTAGTATTAGGAAATACCTGTTTCTAACTAAACAAGATTAAAGAATAAGTAATATGTTTTGCTTGGGAGTAAATTTGAATGAGTAAATCTCAACTAGATTGTATTTTAATGATATTTGATACTTATTTTTCTTGTAAATATATTCCATTTTGCTTGATTTCCTCATATTGCTTTTTTATAATATTCTGTAAATCAGGTATAACAATTACTGGTATTGGCAGAAAATCTCCATACTATACCCTAAAGCAGTTGTAATCTGGCTGAGGGAATAATAAGTAAGAAAGAGATATCACAAGATTTGGAATTATCTAAAGGCACTACACATATACAGTCCTTGCAATTTTTCTAATTAGTACTTGTAAAAAACTTGAAAATGGAATCTCATGTTTGAAAATCTATTTTATGCATTTCACAGGTTCCAACTTAATGGTTCTTCCTTTTATACTAAAATAATCATATTACAAACCCTGTTCCTGAGGATATAACCTTTTAATTTTGTTGGTACTTTCAAAATAACTTAATGTTATGATTTTTTTTAACATGGATTGTGATTTGTTTGAACCTGATAGAGTGTTCTAGAACATGTTACTATAGTTAGACTCTACAATTTGTTGCTCTCTTTAGTTCCTAAAAAAATGTATTTACTCTGGAACATTCTAGACTTCACCTAAGGGGATTTAGTTATGAAAGTGTTCCAAAAGTTCTTTTTAGGAAGGGGACATGACAGATGAGGATCCTAAAGACAGGATTTATCTATATTTTGTCATTTTTTTAAAATGCCAAGAAAAATAGTTAGAAATTGGATTATATAATACTGTACTCTGAAGTTTACAAAAAGAATTCAAAAGCACATTTTATATTGCATATAATATGGATGAAATTGCAGATGATACTCATAGAAATTGCTATGTTCAGATATTTGTTTTGTGTTTTTAATATATTTATAAGGTTTTTAAAATCAGCTTAAAGAAACATCGCTTAAGGGTGGCCTTTCCCATGTACTTAAGCTTACTTACAATGTGGAACCAATATATGAAAGTTTTGAGGGGGACGGGGCGCCAAGATGGCCAAGCGAAGCCAGCACCGGAATGCAGCTCCCAGTGAATGAGACTCAGAGGGCTAGAGGACTTCACGATTCCAAACAAGGTGCCAGGTTCGTTTCTATTGGACTGATAGGGCACTGAATTTAGGCCCAGGGAAGGAGCCACAGGGCAAGAGCCACCCAGGGGGGGCAAATCAAAATGGGGGATGGGGCACGTCCCCACCTGAAATGTGCACCCAGCTTGGAGGGTCGGGGGACTTAACCCACTTGGTGCTCCGTTTTGGAGCCTGTACTTATCTCATCCCTCCTACAACCCACAGTCCACAAGAGCCCTGCCAGACAGTGGGACACCGTGGGTGGTTGATGCAAATCTGAGCGGCGGCTACCACGGGGTGTGGCAAGTTTTCGCAGGGACCTGGGTGGGAGTTTGGTCTAACGCCAGTGGGACGGACCATCCCACAGAGGGAGGCAGAATTGAAAGCAGTGAAACAGACCATAAGGCCTGGTAGGCCCCACCTCTGCTGAACTCAAACTGAAGCCCCTGTTAGAGAGCTTGGCAGCAAATACACCAGCTTGACCCCAACCCGGAAGATCAAGCTCTGGGAGAGACGCCATAGGGAAGGTGGAGCCAATCTCACCTGCAAACAGACTCCAGGGAAGGACCAGCCACCCAGCAACCTGACTGAACCCCAGAGAGCCCAGCAATGCCCTCTACAGGCCAAAAAACATACAGCTCCAACCTCAACAGAAAAAAAGGTCCACTCAGAACTTCTCCTGAAATCACCAACTTCAAAGATTAAAGGGAGATAAATCCATGAAGATGGGAAAAAAAACATCGCAAAAAGGATGAAACCATCAAAGAACAGAACACCTCTTCTCCCAGGAATCACAACTTCTCACCATCAAGGGAACAAAAGAAAGAGAATGAATCTGACAAATTGACAGAAACAGGTTTCAGAAGGTGGATAATAACAAACTTCTCCAAGTTAAAAGACTATGTTTTAACCCAATGCAAAGAAACTAAGAACCTTGAAAAAAGGTTAGACGAAATGCTAACTGAAATAACCAGCTTAGCGAAGAACATAAACGACTTGATGGAGCTGAAAAACACAGCACAAGAACTTCTTGAGGTATACACGAGTTGCAACGGCCAAATCAATCAAGCAGAAGAAAGGATATCAGAGATAGAAGATAAAATCAATGAAATGAAACAAGAAGGCAAGATTAGAGAAAAAAGAGTGAAAAGAACAAACTCTCCGAGAACTATGAGATTATGTGAAAAAACCTAATCTACGCTTGATTGGCATACCTGAATGTGACAGGGAGAATGAATCCAAGTTGGAAAACACTCTTCAAGATACTATCCAAGAGAACTTTTCCAACCTAACAAGGCAGGCCAACATTCAAATCCAGGAAATACAAAGAATACCACAAAGATATTCCTCAAGAAGAGCAACCCCAAGGCACATAGTTGTCAGATTCACCAGGGTTGAAATGAAGAAAAAAATCCTAAGGGCAGCCAGAGAGAAAGGTTGAGTCACCCACGAAGAAAAGACCATCAGACTCACGGCAGATCTCTTGGCAGAAACCCTGCAAGCTACAAGGGAGTGGGAACCAATATTCAATATCCTTAAATAAAAGAACTTTCAACCCAGAATTTCATATCTGGCCAAACTAGGCTTCATAAATGAAGGAGAAATAAAATCTTTTACGGACAAGCAATTGCTGAGATATTTTGTCGCTGCAAGACCCGCCTTACAGGAGCTGCTGCAGGAAGTACTAAACAGGGAAATGAACAACCAGTACCAGCCACTGCAAAAATGTACTAAATGGTAAAGAATAATGATACAATGAAGGAGCCATGTTAATTAATGGGCAAAACAGCCAGCCAGTAACAAAATGCCAGGATCAAATTCAAACATAACAATATTAACCTTGAATGTAAATGGCCTAAACACCCCAATTCAAAAGACACAGACTGGCAAACTGGATAAAAAGTCAAGACCCATTGGTATTCTGTATTCAGGTGACACATTTCACATGCAAAGACTCACATAGACTCAAAATAAAGGGATGGAAGAAGAGTTGCCAAGCAAGTGGAGAGCAAAAAAAAAGCAGGGGTAGCAATCCTAGTCTCTGATAAAACAGAATTTAAACCAACAAAGATAAAAAAAGACAAAGAAGGGCATTATATAATGGTAAAAGGATCAATGCAACAAGAAGAGCTAACTATCCTAAATATTTATGCACCCAATGCAGGAGCACCCAGTTACATAAAGCAAATTCTTAAAGACCTACAGAGAGACTTAGACTCCCGCACAATAATAGCGGGAGACTTTAACACTCCACTGACAATATTGGACAGATCAACGAGACAGAAAGTCAACAAGGATATCCTGGACTTGAATGCAGATTTGGACCAAGTGGGCCTAATAGACATTAACAGGACACTCCACCCCAAATCCACAGAATACACATTTTTCTCAGCACCACATTGCACTTACTCTAAAATTGACCACACAATTGGAAGCAAATCACTCCTCAGGAAATGCAAAAGAACAGAAATCATAACAAACACTCTCTCAGACCATGGCGCAATCAAATTCAAACTCAGGATTAAGAAAAGCACTAAAAACCACACAAACACATGGAAACTGAACAACTTGCTCCTGAATGACGAATGGATAAACAATGAAGTGAAGGCAGAAATAAAAATGCTCTTTGAAACCAACAAGAATGAAGACACAACGTACCAGAATCTCTGGGCACATTTAAAGCAGTGTCTAGAGGGAAATTTATAGCAATAAATGCTCACATGAGAAACAAGGAAAGATCTAAAATAGAGACGCTATTGTCAAAATTGAAAGAGCAAGAGGAGCAAGATCAAAAAACTCAAAAGCAAGCAGAAGACAAGAAATAACTAAGATCAGAGAGAGCAGAACTGAAGGAGATAGAGACACAAAAAACCCTTCAAAAAATAAATCCAAGAGCTGTTTTTTTTTTTTTTAAAGATCAACCAAATAGACTGCTAGTTAGACTAATAAA